TCTCTTTTTGCATTGCCACTACCCTAATTCATGACGTAGTTCTGTTCAGTATTTAGATACAGAACTATCCATACTCCATGAGGCAGACACAGATTGTAGTTCTTAGGAAGGACAAGAGGAACAACTTCAGCCTTTGCCACTCTGAGAAGCTGCTGGCCTCCTGATCTAGGAGTAAAGAATTATTTCAGTGGTCTAGTCTTTTATCTAATCGACTTGCCTCTAGCTTCTGCCGCCTTCACATTATCTTTTACATATAGTTATTTTCTAAAACTGTATATTTGTGTATATTAGAACGCAAACTAAATTCCTTTTACTAGCATCAAAAAGGGCGTAACAGTTTGATTTTCTCATCTCCTCACCCCACCTTGCTTTTTGGTTTGCTTATTATTTATTGAACACATGCCGCTTTTGATGTTTGATCAAATTATATGGTGTTATCTCTTCAAAAAAGCTCCATTTCCACCCCTGCATCCCAACACCTTTCCTCCTTCCGCTTGTCCTCAGCCTTTCAGATTATGATAAATTACTATTTGGTTCAAGAAGATTTCTCAGAAAATGTAAGAAGTAGCCTCCACCTGTTACTGTACTCTTCCTGAAACACTATTTGTACTCAATGATTAATACTAACTAGAAGTTTTATAGGTGTGGCTCTTACATTTAGGCCTATGATCCATTTTGAGTTAGTTCTTTGTATAAGGAAGGGGTCCAACTGTATTCTATTACATGTTCATATTCAGTTGTTGCAGCACCATTCATTGAAAGACTACTCTTTTCCTATTGAATTCTCTTGCTACCCTGTTGAAATTCACTTGTCAGTAATACAAGGATTTATTTCTGGACTCTTAGATCTATTCCGTTGATCTGTATGTCTGTTCTTTTGCCAGTACTGCACTGCTTTGATTACTGTTGCTTTGTATTAATAGAAAGTTTTAAATAAAGATTCGTGAGTCCTCCAAGTTTGTTCTTTTTCAAGATTGATTTGATTGTTCTGGGTACTTCGGTTATCCATGTGAATTTTAGGATCAGCCTACCAATTCTGTATAAAAGCTTGCTGAGATGATGATAAGGATTATTTGGGGGCAATAATGGGGTGATCCCTTTCCTTCCCATAATAAAGGGTTTTGGCCTACACCCCATAACAAAAACATTTTAACAAGAGAAAAGCATAACAAATTTATTATGTGCACATGTGTGTACAGAAGTCATAGAAAATATGAGCTCAAAGTGGGGCCAGATGGTTGAGGCTTAAATGCTTTTTTTTTTTTAGAGAGGAGAGCGAAATGGGGAAATGAATAGTCCTATAGTGGTAGAAAGGCACTAGAACATAGGTTGCCTTACTATACAAATAAAATACTCCAGGTAAACTCAGAGCTGCCCTCTGAAGAACAGATGAAAAGTTTATCTGGGCATCGTGATGATTCCTGGTCTCTCTTCTTTTTGGGTGGTTGATCTTTGCTGGTTATTTGATGAGATTCCTAGTGAGGGGGTCTTAAGACGATTGCATTTATTTTTTTTCTTTTTCCTTTTTGATTATTATGGGTACATAATAGTTGTATATCTTTATAGGGTACATGTGATATGATGTTTTAATATACACATACAATGTGAATTAATCAAATCAGGGTAATTGGTAATTGGGTATCCATCACCTCATGCTTTTATCATTTCTTTGTGTTAGGAACATTCCAATTCCACTCTTAGTTATTTTAAAGTACATCCTAACTTATTGTTGTTACACTTTGTTGTGCTATCAAATATTGTTCATTCTAACTATATTTTTGCAACCATTAACCATTCCCACTTTATTCCCCGCTCCCCGTTACCTTTCCCAGGCTCTGGTAATCATCCTTCTGCTGTCTTCATGAGATCAATTGTTTTTAATATTTAGCTACCATGTATGAGTGAGAATATGTGAGATTTGTCTTTCTGTGCTTGGCTTATTTCACTTACCAAAATATTCTCCATCTCCATCCACGTTGTTGCAAATGGCAGGATTTCATTCTTTTTGTGGCTATATAATATTCCATTGTGTATATGCACCACAATTTCTTTGTCCATTCATCTATGATGGACACTTAGGTTGATTCCATATCTTGGTTATTGTGAATAGTGCTGCAATAAACATGGGAGGGCAGATATCTTTTTGATACACTGAATTCTCCTCCTTTGGGTGTATACCCAAAGTGGGGTTGCTGGATCATATGGTAGTTTTATTTTTAGTTTTTTGAGGTACTTCCATACTGTTCTCCATGGTGGTTGTGCTAATTTACATTCCCACCAACAGTTTATAAGGGTTCCTCTTTCTCCACATCCTCAACAGCATTTGTTATTGCCTGTGTTTTTGATAAAAGCCATTTTAACTGGGTGAGATGGTATCTCATTGTAGTTTTGATTCACATTTCTCTGATGACTAATGATGTTGAGCATTTTTTTGTATACCTGTTGGCCATCTGTATAAGACAGTTGCATTTCTTAAGAAGCTTTCTTAGATGAGGACATTTCAGAATCTCTCCCTGAGCTTAAGGAGGGGAGAACAAGACCAAGGTTAGAGGGACCTTGATTCTCGAACTCCTTGCCTCAAGCAATCCTTGTCCTCAGCATTCCAAAGTGCTAGGATTACAGGCTTGAGCCACCGTGCCTGGCCATTTAAACATTAAGTCTTCTCCTGAACAGGGATGTTTTTCTACTGTTTAGGTCTTCTTTAATATCTTTCAACAATGTTTTGTGCTTTTCAGAATACAAGTTTTTCACTTTTTGTTGTATCTATTCCTAAGTATAGTGTTTGATGGTATTGTAAATATAATTGTTTTTGTAATTTTTTTTTCTGATTATTCATTGCTAGTACATTAGAAATACAATTGATTTTTCTGTATTTATCTTTAAAGGAAGAAACTGTTTCTCTAGTCACAACTCTTCTGACACTAAATGTGTGACACCAGGCAATTCTCCATTTCCCTGGAGACCAACTGGGTACAGTTTAATCTGGTTCTTAGAATAACTACCCAGAGTTATCACAAATCCCACAGGTTAAGGGCTCAGTCTCAAAAGGATGCCCCCCACTTCAGATGTCAGTTGCAAGTAGGGGGTCCCCAGATTACTCACACTTGTGTCTGACTTGGCTACAAATTGGAGTTTTCTACAACCTCCTCCTCAAGTGTGATAATTTGCTGTAATGAAGTCAGGGAAGTGCTTTATTTACTATTACCAGTTTATTATAAAGGATACAATGGACAGTTCAAATGAACAGGCAGATGAAGAGGTACATGGGGTGAGGTCTGGAACGGTGTGGAGTACAGGAGCTTCTGTTCCTGTGGAGTAGGAGTGAGACACCCTCCAGCATGTGGATGGTGGTTTAAGGTTTTTATGGAGGTCCTGGTACATGGGCATGATTGATTAAATCTTTGGCCATTGGTGATTAGCTCAGTCTCCATGCTCTCTCCTCATATGTTGGGGGACGGGGCTGAAAGTTCCAATCCTCTAATCATACGGTTGGTTCCTTTAGCAAGCAGCCCCATCCTCCAAGAGTCACCTCAGTAAAATCTCAGGTATGGTTGAAAGGCACTTATTCTTAATAAGCAAAGACTATCTTCTTAGTCCCATTGCTCAAAAATGCAAAGCTTTTAGGAGCTCTGTGCCAGGAACCAGGGATAAAGACCAAAAATATATTTCTTATTATATCACAATAATCACAATCTTGTATCCTACAGTCTTGCTGAACTGTTTTTATTAGTTCTGATAGTTTTTTAGTGGATTCCTTAGGATTTTCTGTATATACAATCATATCATCTGTGAATATAGTTTTTTTAATCATGATATTTTTATTTCAGAATGCAAACATGGAAAATTAAATTTCGGAGAGAGTACTCAGTTAGATAACATCATTCTCCTGGGGTATTAGGATGCATTTATTCTTTGCAACTCTCATGTCCTGGAAGTAGCAAGACCATTTGTTTTCATTTTGTCATTTTCCTGTACAGAAACCTTCAATGGCTCCGTATGACCTTTATGCTAAAAATCTAGTTTCTTAGTCTACCAGCAGTACTGCATACTTTTTTCCCCAGCATAGGTACATGACATACTTTCTCTTTTCCTCGTGAGTCTCTGTTCAGGTACCCCTTGCCCTCGAGACCCTCTCTGACTACCTACATGATAGAGCTCCTTTCCAGCTTTGCCCAAATCACTTGTTTTCTTTGTTAATATATTTTGTAGTACCTTGGAGACCACTTCAGCATTTATCACCACCTGGCGTGTATGCAAGCATGCATACATACATATATATTTGCTGGTCTACCTCTCCCATTGAATGTGTAAGTTCCATGAGAGTGGGACTTAGGCCATTTTGTTCACCATTATGTCTCCACTACTTAGAATAGTATCTAACATCTTTTTAATAAATCTCATGAATGCATAGTACAGAATGACCAAATTGTACTACCTTCTTGCTTCACAATGTAACCTACCTAAATTGAAAAAGATCTAGAGCGAACATGGAAAATGAATTTTATGTGTTTGCTAACTCCAGTTGGTTGTTGCTGCCTTGGGTAAGAATGGGGCTCACAGGGAAAGAATGCAGATTATTTAGCAATGGCCGCTAGGACGCTGAGAGAGGAGCATGTGACATACATGTAAAGTACTTGCCATCCCTAATGCAGTCAGATGCTAAAGAATAGGAAATGGGCTTTTGGTCTCTTATTTTTTCCTCCTCTTCTGGCTTGTTTCCTTTTTACTACTTACTACTGGGAAATGTTCGTGGATACTTGGGGTTAGGTTGGAAAGGCAACGTGTTTATGGTATGGTGTGGAAACTTTCCTGTGTAATTCCATTGTTAATAGATATAGTACAGATGAGTCTCTTAGAAATATCAGGACATTGCAGGGGGCTGGTATACTAGCCTCTGCCTGATTGAAAAAATAATAATTTGCCAATGTAATATGATGAATTTTTTTCAAAGTTATTTTAAAATTATTTTGAACTAATATTTTTCTTTTTCTTCCTTCTAGATTCTTGCTGAAATCTGTTAATTCTACTTTTTGAGCACACATGAATAACCACGTATCTTCAAAACCATCTACCATGAAGCTAAAACATACCATCAACCCCATTCTTTTATATTTCATACATTTTATAATATCACTTTATACTATTTTAACATACATTCCATTTCATTTTTTCTCTGAGTCAAGAAAAGAAAAATCAAACAAAATTAAAGCAAAGCCTGTAAATTCAAAACCTGAGTCTGCATACAGATCTGTTAATAGTATGGATGGTTTGGCTTCAGTATTATACCCTGGATGTGACACACTAGATAAAGTTTTTGTGTATGCAAAAAACAAATTTAAGAACAAAAGACTCTTGGGAACACGTGAAATTTTAAATGAGGAAGATGAAGTACAACCAAATGGAAAAATTTTTAAAAAGGTAAGATAATCTTTCATTGCCTTTGAATTCCCTCTGAACAAAGTATACTCTTAGAAATGATAGCAACGGACAGGCACAGCCTGCTTTTATTGGAATTTGTTGATGTTGCAGGAGAAACAGTATAGGAAGGGGACTAGACTGTGCTCTAATCTCTTTCTGTACTTATCAGCACTGATTTGTTCTGAACTTTTAGAAAGACGTTGAGAACACCCACTGGTGTGGAGCTCCTCTGAACCTGCATGTCTGCCAGGGCTTGGAATAAAATGTCTAGGGCAGTTTTGGGTACGAAACCATATTCTTTGGTTTCCAGAAGCACCTAGGTGCTTGAAATGGCTCTGAGTTTTGGGGTGTGACCTGCTGTTTTTGATTTTGATGTGGATTGCAGTGGGTGCTTAATGTCCTGGTAATTTTGTTGTGGCAGTTGTGTGGTTCTTAAAAAAATTTCTCTTCACAAATGTAGAGGAACCTGCCATTGTTAATTTGAAACAGAGGACATGATGATGTCTGTAGAGGCAGCGTAACAGTGATCAAGAGCCTGGACTCCAAGGCTCTTGACCAAGACCAAGACTATAGCTTTAAATGTTGGATTTGCCACTTACTAGCTTTGTGACCTTGGAAAAGTGATTTATTTTATTTTATTTTTTTTAAGAGACAAGGTCATGCTCTGTAGTCCAGGCTGGAGTGTAGTGGCATGATCACAGTTCACTACAGCGTCAAATTCCTGGGCTCAAGGGATCCCCCTGCCTCAGCCTCCCGAGTAGCTAGGATTACAGGCATGTGACACACCACACCTGGCTAATTTGTTTATATTTGTTCTCTGGAGCTGAAACCGGAACCCAGGCCTTCTGACTCCAGAACTCATAATCCTTAACTAATCACAGCTTGCAGAGTTCTTGTAAGGATTGAGTGTATGTGCACACATCTGTAATGTGCTTAGAACGGTTTGTGGTTACCTAATAAAAATGCTCTAGCATTCATTATTATATTACTGTATTATTATATTCTTGGAAATTTAGTGAGGAAAATTATATCAGTGAGTACAAAAAGACATCATGGAGTAGTGCTTTACTATGAATGACAGTAAGTATAGAAATGGCATAAAAATGCTACTTATGAACTTGGGATCATGGCTTTCTTATAAGCAGTTCTTAAAACTCTGGCGGGCAAAAATTAAAGATAAAGTGTATTTTAGAGGCAGTATGATCTGTAGTTGGTTGATAATTTGGTTATGTTATAGGTTTAATACCTTTTTAGGCAAAGTTGTTTTTCTCTTATCCAATCCTAGCTATATCTTGACTCCCCCAACTGCCTTTTTTTCTGTCAGCCACAGGGAAACTCTCAGATCTTGACGGGAAATCTAAACCACAACTGTGGAATCAAAAACTCAGAGCTCCTCCTGTTACTGGAGGGCCAGGGTGATGTTGCTTAATCTCTTTCATGGCCCATTAATTTTGCAACTTACCATACAAATTTCCTATGTCATTTTCCTCTAAATGGAAATGGAGATGGCAAGTGAGTTGATGTCAGTGATTCCTAGAAACTATAAACATTTTAACTCAACAATAGGATCTGTAAATTTCCTTGCCTTTAAATAGAGTGACTGTATGTCTTGGTTTGCCTGGAACAGTCCTGATTTATACTTGTTATTCTGACATTAGTAGGGCCTCCAGACAGTCTCAAAAATGCCCTCATCGGATAAAGTTGTATGGTCACCTTACTTTTAAGGCACATTCCCTATTTTGCTGACTTAGAAAAAACGGAATTTTTTGCTACTTAATTAAGATCTAACTGGACATAAAGCACATTTCTAGAAATTGAAATCATGTCATTACGCATGTTTTATTATTCTTCTCTAGCCTATAGTTTATAATTTGCAAACCATTTTATTATACTGAAGTCAGCTTTTGTCATATTGAGTTGATGCCCTTTTTTTTTTTTTTTTGAGACAGAATCTCTCGCTTTGTTGCCCGGGCTAGAGTGAGTGCCGTGGCATTAGCCTAGCTCACAGCAACCTCAAACTCCTGGGCTCAAGTGATCCTTCTGTCTCAGCCTCCCGAGTAGCTGGGACTACAGGCATGCGCCACCATGCCCGGCTAATTTTTTCTATATATATATATATTGTTTTTAGTTGTCCAGATCATTTCTTTCTATTTTTTAGTAGAGATGGGGTCTCGCTCTTTCTCAGGCTGGTCTCGAACTCCTGACCTTGAGCGATCCACCCGCCTTGGCCTCCCAGAGTGCTAGGCCTGTAAAGGCGTGAGCCACTGTGCGTGGCCGAGTTGTTGCTTTTTATGGTACACTATCCTTGAGTCTGTCTTTGAGAGATCTGTTAGTTATAAAAGATACTGAAAACACTGCATTTTTATGTGCTTAAGTTTTCCACTCTTCTGCCTTCTCTCTGCTCCTCACAGCATATCTAAAAGGTATTCATTTTTGTCTTTTGATCTAATATGATATTTCAATTCAAAATTTGGGTTTTCTTACTTTTAGTCTAAGTGTACATAACAGAGGTCTTATTTTACAGGAAGTTTAATTTTTCTCCAGTATCTCACATACATTATATGTGACTTGTACTTTTAGTCATCATTCAGTACATACAGCAGCAAATGGTTCCTTGTTATGTAAATAGGAAAAAAGCTTGTATAGTGAATATGAAATTTCTTCTTAATTCATGTGTCAATATAATTAGGACAAAAATAAAATCCTAGAGCTCTCATAGATGTTCCCTAAATGTAGTCTACACAGGAAATAGGATGAACCCAAGGAAAGTTTGTTTTTTCTTCCCATGTGTGTCTAAGTGTATGTGGCTCTGCCCTGCCTGTCTTGACCATGGTGCCTTTGTATTCATTGATTATTCAACCAAGCAGGAAATATTTGAACTCATAGAATTTAAAAGGTGAGCCAAACTGTTTTTAGTCAGCAACTTTTTCTGTCTGTAGCATATTTATTACGAGGTTTTACTTTGTATGGGAAGTCTTTGAATTTCCATATGTCAGAAGATCTGCCTACTATTAGCATTATTGATCAAATTGGCATTTGTGGTTCATCAAGCTTTGTTCAGAAGGCTATATCCAGACTCTGATGTGGAAACATGTTGTATTTTTCTTGTCTGAAATTAGGTCCATTGGGAAAGTAGAATTTTTAGGTTTTTTGTATAATGAGTGATGCATGTATTTTCTCTTGGCCTTACTCAAGAAGAAAGTGTGCAGTACCGCTGGTAGGCTAAGACTTGAGTTTCTGTTGGCCCTGTGTTGCAGCTGTGGCAAGAATCTACAAACTGGAGAGTGGATATCTCAGTTGCATGCTAAACAGGCGAGGCTCTCTTTTTTTTCCCTTTCCTCTCTTGGTCTCTTGTTAGACCCATTGTATGGCATCTGCCATGATAGGATATTAAAAAGGGGAGCTTTTCACAACTGCCGAGTTAAGCTGTCGGCTGTCTGTCCTTAGTGCCTACTCAAGCTCAGGTGGGAGCTCTAGGAGATCAAGCTCAGGAGGGAGGTCAGAAGACATTTTTGAAGTGTATTGTCATTGAACAGTTTCCATATTTGAAAGTAAACTTCAGTTGGATAGGAAAGCTAATGATGTAGCAATATCTAAAATTTTTCAAGGGGCAGACTTTTGGGGATTAACCCTCAGATGTATCTGAGATGGTTGAAGCAAAGATACACACACAAACCTTATTTCAAATGAATGAACTTTGAAGTTTTGTTTCCATCTTATCCTAACAGTCTGTTTTGAGCTCCCAAAGGAAGATAAGTAGAAGAAAGGCAGTTGTGATGATTCTGCTCTAATTATGCCCAAGATTGAGGGGCCACCAGCTTCACCAAAATGGGACTCTCTCATGGGGCACAGAGAAGCACAAGGCACCTGTGGCCTGGCAGGCCTTAAGGACTACTGTCTCATCCTTTTTTTTTTTTTTTTT